GTTGTTGTTGTTGTTGTTGTTGTTGTTGTTGTTGTTGTTGTTGTTATTATTGATATTGGGTAATAAAAGAGTAGACTTTAGATTTAGCAAAACACACACATTTTCACATTTGTATCTTGTTAAAGCTAGTGGATTCAAAAAACTTTTAATAACTTTTTCATTTTAAAAACATAGCATTATTGTAGAACAAAAGAAACATTCCAATAATAAATGAAAGCACCATCACTGTTTTCAGTTTTCTATTGCTTCCTCTTAAAGCTGCAGTGTGAGTAACATTCTTCCTCATTAGAATTTTGTTAAAACAATCTGACCCTTACATTATGCAACACAAAAAGAACCCCCCCTCCCCTTTTTTTATTTTTACATCTCCTTGTAATTACAGTGCAGTCATCCATTTGTTTTCTGTAGCTATGAGAAATTTAACATTTTCCCCCATTCTGAAAAACCAATGTTGCCATAAATTGGCACGTCCTTTTAGGGACAATACAGAGAAATTCCTGACCCTTTTATTGGATTTTCTACTTTTTTCAAGTTTAAATTTAAGTTAAAAAAGGACATCACCTTTAGTGATTTAATGATTTATTTTTGAATGATTTGGTTTTATGTTCCTGAAGGAGGGATTTCCTTCTTGTTTTCCCTTATGTAAGGCTGAACTGCTCAAGATTGTCTTGGAGGAGCGTATCTCTGACTGCTTTGAAGACGACTCGGATGTTCTCTGTGTCTGTGGCACAGGTGAAGTGGGTGTAGAGGGATTTATGACGCCCAACGTGCCGCTGGATGTACATCGATTCAATGAATTTTTTTGCTGTGTTGGCATTACTCTGAGGCCCTGTGGGAGAATAAGGGATTAACGTTAGAGTGAGTAAATGAACAGTATTCATAGTCTAAATTTAAAACATGCTATTAATGCTATGACATAAAAATCCCACTCGTTAATTGCTCCTTTAATCCAAAACTCCTATCATATATAGGCTTTGTTACAGTGTTGTACTATCAAAACAACATAATAAATTCAGAATCAGAAGTGTTTATTGTCATTGCACATAGGCACATTGTACGTACATACAACTAAATTAATTTTAGGACAGCCCATCCAAGGGGGCGGGGTGCTCGGGGCTGCAGCCATGAAGGCCAAATGATATTGTCAGTATTTCAGTTTGCTTGATTTGTTGATCCAACAGACTCAAAACACAAAATGCATTCACTTTTCAACAATGCAAGTTCCAAGTAAAACGTAAACAATATATGTATATATATATAACAACTAATGGACAAGGTGTGTCGGGGCAAGATGGCGCCTGTGTATGGCTTTGCCTGCTTTACCCCCTTGCGCATATCTTCTATGCTTTTATTTTTGTATTATTTAGCTTTTATTAGTCTGGATAAAAACTTTGTCATTTCTGCTGCCCGTGTTTATGATCGGGATGCGCTG